GAGAGGGTGAGACGGCCTTACAGGTGACACGCAAGGAGGGTGAGACGGCCGTACGGGTGACACGCAGGGAGGGTGAGACGGCCGTACAGGTGATACGCAGGGAGAGTGAGACGGCCGTACAGGTAATGAGCAGGGATAGTAAGACGGCCGTACAGGTGACACGCAGAGAGGGTGAGACGGCCGTACAGGTGATACGCAGGGAGGGTGAGACGGCCTTACGGGTGACATGCAGGGAGGGTGAGACGGCCGTAGGGGTGACACGTAGGGAGGGTGAGACGGCCGTACGGGTGATACGCAGGGAGAGTGAGACGGCCGTACAGGTAATGAGCAGGGATAGTAAGACGGCCGTACAGGTGACACGCAGGGAGAGTGAGACGGCATACAAGTGACACGCAGGGAGGGTGAGACGCCTGTACAGGTGATACGCAGAGAGAGTAAGATGGCCGTACAGGTGACACGCAGGGATAGTAGGACCTCCGTAAGGGTGATACGCAGGGAGAGTGAGACGCCTGTACAGGTGACACGCAGGGACAGTAAGATGGTCGTACAGGTGACACTCAGGGAGAGTAAGATGGCCGTGCAGGTGATATGCAGAGAGAGTGAGACGCCTGTACGGGTGGTACATAGGGAGAGTAAGACGGCCGTTCGGTAGTACGTAGGGAGCGTAAGAGGGCCGTATTGGTCATACAGAGGGAGAGTGAGATGGCGGTACGGGTAAAAGTAGGCACCAGAGTCAATTAGGAACAGGTTACAGGTTGAGAAAGAATAAATAGGACTAAGACTGCCACAAAAAGTATTCATAGTATAAAAGGAGCCACTAGAATAAAAATACAAAGGTTCTTATAAGCCCCTCCCCAATAGAGAGATACAGAAAATATGACACATTCAGCAATTACAATGTAAGATACGACCGAGAACAAACTTAGCAGTTATTTCAATAATGGCTCATACCTGTAATTCCAGTACTCTTGAGAAACCAAGGCAAGTGGATTGCAATGAAGAGGTTAATGTAACTCCATTTGGGAATGAAGAGGTTAATGTAACTGCATCTTGGAACTAACTCTCCACTCCCCTCCTGGGCAAAGTTGTCCAGGAGGAATCAGTCTATCAAAAGGAGAGTGGATCCCTCCTCTGCACTTCTTGACAGCCAGTCTGAAGGGACCCCCCCCCCCATTTCTGGGCAAGGTCAATCAGCCCAGATGGAGCCAATCTATCAAAAGTGGACAGACAACCCTCCTCTGGAAAGTCCCTAACCATAAACCCACCCTATAGCACCTCTGGCGTATCAGGTGGTGCCAAGCATCCCCGGATAACAGCTCAGCCAATGGCAACCCCTCCCGACAAAACGCCCAATGAAATTCCTCTATACACTTTAAAAACCTCCCCTGGCTTCATTTTGGGTCACCCTTCCCCCGGCTTCGCTGTAGGGTGGAGTGACCCAGGCATATGCTTGCAAATAAAGCACTTCATTGTCTTTGCATGTGTGTGGTGGTCTCTCAACAGCGATTTTGGTCCCAACAGCTTAAGTTCAGGAGTTTGAGACCAACCTGAGCAACAGCGAGGCATTTTGGCGGGCGCCTGTAGTTCCAGCTACTCTGGAGGCTGAGGCAAGTGGATTGATCACTTGAGCCTGAGTTTGAGGTTGCTGTGAGCTATGAAGAAAACTGGACGGGCCTAACTTACCTATTAAAGACTTCCAAACTGGTCATCTAGTAAAGACTCAACTGTGTGCTGTACACAAGAGACGCACTTAAAATGCAGCCATGGAAAGGGCTAAAAATAAAAAGGTGAACAAAGATTTGCCAGGCAAATGGAAACAGCAAGACAGGGGCGTTGCAAGCCTGATGCCAAAGTCGACTTTGAGCCCCAAACAAACAAAAAAATAAACAGAAAACTTAAAGCTTTGAAATGGCCCTTGAGCATATGAAAGAATATCCAGCATTACTCTAAGTAAGATAAATACAAATTAAGACTATTATTTTAAAATGGTGCCATTCCTTACCCATCGGATTGGCCACACCCAAATCCTCCCTCTCTTTCCCTGCACAAATCTTATTGATGGCTGATCTGAGCAATAATTAATGATACTATTAAATATAATTCTATGTGACAGCATCTCAGTTTTCTGTAGATCATCTATTGATTAATCCCAATTAATCTGGAGAAGTCTGCCAACCTACCCCAATTTAAAAGCCAAGATTATAAAGCATAACCCTTTTATAATTCTAAAATGTGTATATACATCTAATATATATTTATGTTCATTTACATATATATATATATTCGACTTCGAGGTTTTCTTCATTAGCCAGATCTGTGGTTAGACTGAAGACTGGCATGGGTGTGACATCTCCTATAGTGCCACGTGGGAGAAAGTTAGGTTTCATTTCACCGTTGTTAGAAATATAGTGTTATATTAGGGTTAATCCCACCCCAGCCCCAACAAGTTAGCTATTTCTCTTTGGGTCAGGCAAAATGAACTGCTTATCCATATAAACTGTCTGTATATGTATCTCCATCAAGCAGTTACGTCGAATTGTCCCTAACGGGACAAGGGAGATGATCGCTTTGTTCTCATGAAAATAGGATACACTTGGATGAATTTTAAATGAGTGTTCATACTGCAGAATAATGTGATGAAATGATTTCAATCAATTATCTGCCTTAGTGTTTTAGTTTAAAAGGTTGTAATCGAAAACAAAAATGCGTTCTGCTGATACTCATGTTCCCCTGAGAGCCAGGACAATGTGACAGGAACAACAGGGTCAGCGTGTTCTCAGACCTGTGGGAGAGCGGGCAGACACTGCTGTGAACACAGTTTGGGCCCCCCAAATTCCTGTGCTGAAACCCTGTTCCCCAGTGATGGTATGTGGAGGGGGGACCTTCAGAGGTAATCGGGGTTGGATCAGGTCATGAGGGGAACACAGCCTTTTCTCTCCATTGTGTGAGGACATGAAAACTCAGCCATCTGTGAACCCAAAGAGGACCTGATCTGGTACTTCCAACCTCCAGAACCGGGAGGAATTAAGGTTTGTGGTGGAAGTCACCCGTCTATGGTGTTCTGTTACAGCAGACCAGAGTGGTTGACGTCACCTGTCTATGGTGTTCCGTTACAGCAGACCAGATTTAGATACGATTCCTTAATGAAAAATGACAGTGCTCACTTCAGCAGCACATGTACTAAAACTGCGATGATACAGAGGTGAGCATGGCCCCCGCGCCAGCATTGTGTGCAAATTTGCAAAGCGTTCCCTATTTTTATGAATTATAGGCCCACATGAGACAAAAAATACAATTACATTCAAAAAGGGAGAAGGAAGAGGGGGTCAGTGAGCTCCACCTAACAGATACAATGTAGGGGTACTTGGTACCCCTGCTGAGTGAAGGACTCAAATAAGACTCAGACTTTCCCTAACAAACACAAACAATATAAACCTAATTGTATGTAGCCTTATTTTAACCTGAAATAAATTATGTATATATGACAAGATTTTAAACTATAGAGCAGTGGGGTTGGCTTTGCCCCTCCCGCCAGATGTTTGGCAAGGTTCAGAGACACTTCTGATTGCTGGTGGGGGTAGATGTCGCTAAGTAAACAGCCAGCAATGCTCATGACAGCTCCCCACAGCAAGTTATATCCTACACAATGTTAATAGTGCCCAGGTTAAGAAATCCTACTTTAAAGGTAACCATCAGCTGGTCTTAATTTTCATTTCTCTAGAAATTTTTTGTTTCTCACTTGGGACAAACTTGAGGGCTAAGATATGGCAGCATAATATTTTACTCCAAGTCCAAATTGCTAGTTGGGTCTTTGAAATATTAGCACTGGGAGATGCATGTCAGCCTCAACTTCTTACTCAGACTTGTGACTAAGACAAAACAGGTGTGGAGATTTGATGCAGGAATTCTGAATGGTCTTTAGAGTATTCAACACTGTGACCATAGAATCATTCACATCAGCACAATGGCGCTCCTCCAAGAATGTATTTATTTACATGAAAACACCATTTTATACAAATCTTAAGGAAGTGTTTGTCCAGACGTGCCTTCCCCAATCCCTTACTTGCCCCTTCCATTTTCATTTTATTTTGATCTCATAAATAAAATTTGAGACTGGTTGAAGGAAACTGAATATGCCTCGTTCTCTTGCACCCCAAATTTTTAAGACTGTTTAGTGTCCAGAGTTATCCTTCAAAGAAAAGTCTTAACCAGGGTTATTTTATTTAATTTATTTATGTAATACAGTGTAGAAAGCTATCATGTCATAAGCAATGATTCTGTACAATCATCCTGCAGAAAATTTTTTGGGAGAATTCTTGGTAATTTAAGACCAGCAGAGCGTTCCCCCCTCCCACCCGTAAAAGTGCTTACAATGAACAGGGATTCTTTATCAAAGATCCAAAGATATGTGGACAAAAAAAAAGTTCAAATTCTCAATGCCTAATTGTGTGCACATAAAACAGGCACAAAGAAACAAACGTGTATCCTCTTAATTCCTATATCACAAATATAGCAGAAGCAGCAATCTGTACAGTAAAATGCAATCATGGAAGAAAAATCTAAAGCATCTGGAATACTTAAAAATGTTTAACTTCAAAATGCATAGTGATCAGGAAAAGAATACTTAGGCAAGAGAAGCAGCTAAACTCCCACGTTCACACGAAGCATCCCCCATCGATTCTTAAAGCATATTTCAAGTAGGACTTAATTGGGTCACAAACCACAAGAATAATATACAACTGGCTAAGGGGCTATGTGATAAATAATCAGGAGAGAATCTATTCATGCACTAGTTTGATACAGCTACATTCTTTACAGTACACAAAACCCATTAATAATGTAGTGTAGAGATCAAAATGTAAAGAGAGAGAATACATTACTGATTTGTGTATTAATTCAAGTTCAGGCATCTACTTGTGTTATAGCACAGCTGTCAAAAGGCGGTAATGAGTAAATAATAAAACAGGGTTTCTTTTCCCCCACATTATTCTATGAATGAACACCGATGGGTAGTGAAGCAATGGTTTTGCTGTCCAACTTCAGAGGCTGCTGTGGCGGGGGTCTAGTTCTGCATCTGCTCAAAGAACTTGTAAGTTGGGTTTTCATAGCCGTTCTGCTGCATCTTGGACAGGTGGCGCTCCTCCGGGGTCACGGCGGCGTCCACCTGGAAAGCAAAGAGGAGAATTGAGTAAAATAAAAAATCCTTTAGAGTGCACATGTAGCGGCGGTAAAAAGATAAGGCACACAGTACTTTTTTTCGCCAGGATTGTGGAACACGCAAGATTTTCTCCTTTCTGTCTCATTTCGACATCTGGGGTGGAGTGCCTTGGCCCACCCCCTGCGCAGGTGCTCCATCTGGCCACCAGGTGGCACTGAAAACCTTGCCGCGTGGGCTCAGGCTGGCTAAGGTCTCACAGGTTGCTTTTATTTCCCAACCCAACAGTGACTGGATAAATCTAGTACCGCATGTACTTGTTTCTTCCCTGTTGGCTTAAAAAAGGGCAAACAGCCTCGACGGAAGACTGTTTCCTTCGATGGAAGCCCGATTTACTTGAAAGCGTGCTGGTAAGAGTACTATGGAGAGAGATTCAGCAGAGCATACGCTATGTTGGGTGACTCAGTCTAGGTAGAAAAAATATGCAACTTCCTGGACGGCTGAGTGTTCTCCCAGACTCAGTTTCATCTGTCCCTGTGTTCATCAAATGTTCATCAAATTTTATGTGTGTTAAAATGTTAAAGAAAGGTCCCAGAATCATTTAATTAAGACAATGCTGTACATGTATATACCAAAGGTGCTATTATTTGGCACAGGAAAAAAGGAAGAATCTACATCATATATATAATTAAAAAAAAAAAACAACTCAGCACGTAGATAGTATAGAAGTATGTTCAGCTAAAGGCATAAAAGATCTTCTCCACTAATATGATGGTTTACGTCTAAGGTCAGGCTAGTAAGGTGGGAGACCCTTCTCCCTCCCCAGGTG